CACACACACACACACACACACACACACAGACTCCACTGCCTCCCCTCTCATTCCTCCTCTTCACCCATACATACCCTAGTTCCAATGCCAGCTCGTGATCCCTCCTCTCCTTATCCTCCTCCTCCAGTTTCCTCCACTTTTCCTCTTTCGTGGGCGGATACTTGAGGCAGGTCATCGGTTTCCAAGGACGGCTCTTCATCGGTACCACCACCGAAGGATTCATGTTGATCGCATCGCGAGGCCGTGATCGGTACTGGCTTAGCCTTTGTCTAGTTTGGGGGAAAAAATCAACATAATTATGATAGATAGACGGTATTTTCTATGAAAAATCTACTCTGCACATTATGTAGAGAACCAAAAACAGACAGATTTTAGTTAGTTTTAGTAGAGGTTTTACGGCGCTCGCGACTGCATAAGGTCATATAAGAGCCAGAAGATTAGAGGTTTTACAAGAGTGTAACAAACATAAAAAAGAAGAGCGGAGATAAAGACGATAGATGTTTGATAGGAAAGAAGAAGCAAACCACACCAGAGCACCCGCCAACCACCCACGCAGACAGATTTACAAATAAAAACAAGTATAGCATCATTCTCCTCTTTAAAATACATGTACGGTCCAGTTTGTCCAAGATGTCAACTTATTGTCGAGGAGAATAGTGGTCATTTTAGACAGTGGGTTTTCTTAGACAGTATCATTATAATCTAAAAAGACAAGGGGTAAGTGGGGGTGGGGGGGGGGGGCGTTTTACAGGCAATTGTCTTGGGCAGGTGGTCTTTCGAGCAGGGTTGACAGCACTGTGTTCGTCAAATAAATCGTATTAACGTTAATTGTCCCTACCCAGATGGGCATCTACTTTTTGCTCCGCTCGATGAAGGACTGAGCCCATTTTACGGGTGCTACGAAAACTTCCTAGGGGAAAAAAACCCATAAATAATATGATTCCCCACCATTGCACCATCGTTGCGTCCACGTTACGCTACTAGTTATGATTTTAAAAAATAAGAGCAAGGCCAGTCTAGTACAGCTATCTATTTTCAGCTGTTTGCGAGGGATGCCACATTTTTGTTGAACCAAAGAGAAGCCCAACAAGACACAAAGCGTTGAGAAAAATAATAAGAAAAAAATAAATGAAGAAAAAACCCCGCACACTTCGTTTTGTGATGCTACAGCGATTTATTTGATTATGAGACATTATTGCCAATGCTCGTGTGAGATTCAATAATAATGTATTCTTGTCAAGTATATTGCCATAGCGCCATACCACTCGATGTACATCTATTATGCGAATAATGTAGAGAACCAACAACAGACAGATTAGTAAATAAACACACAAGTATAGCCTCACACATAACCATGGAGAAATAGCGGTCTGTTGTAGACTTTTAGCATAGATAGATAGATAGATAGATAGATAGATAGATAGATAGATAGATAGATAGATATGCCTGTTGAAGACTTGGAAATGAACTATGAAAAATGTGTGTCTTCAAAGAAAAGGCCTGGAAATGGCTTAGAAAAAAGGAGCAAAGCCCTACAAGCGTGACCCTCTCGAGTGAAGGGAGGAACTAATTACATGTACTTCCTGACGCCCCGTAGACAGCCTCGGCCTGTCGGACGCCGAGGGCATAAAGACGGTAGAGCGACGTCAATACAACGGTTGGGATGTTGTCATAAGTAGCTGCGTTGTTACACGCAACTACCTACCTCTATTCTGTCAACGAACTGGCCTGCAGGGCACACAATACGTTTTACGAAAAGAAACTCAATAGGTACTATAATTTATTATTTTAGGTATCATTCTCCCACACACGGACAGTAAATTGTATTTTCAATAGTTCAAGACCGTAATTTCGAGGTTTGATCACGTTTCTCAAAAGTGGATGGGATAGGGGAGTGATGATAATGATATATACTAATTAAAGCCAGTAAATTAAGGTCTGTCTGAACCAGTCAAAATCATACAATGAGAAAGTGTACATACAATAGACAAATATCTACCCAGAAAGCTTCACAAAGCAAGACTTTCAGCCACTAAGGCAGCAGTGTAGTCCATTCTAAAGATGAGGAGCTCTTCCAACTCGGCACGCAGGTTGGACCAGGTGGTGAGTTCTATTTTTAATTGCGTGATGCCTCAAGAAGGAAGGCCCAGCACAATGTCAAAGTCAAAGCCACGGCTGGGACGCTGTCATAAAGTGTCTGCCCAAGGGATCAGTAGCAAACGTCAATTTGTTCAGCGCCCGTGGCTGAGACTTTTTTTTTTTCGTTGGTGTTGTTTTGTTTGGTTTGGTTTGAGTTGGGTTGTTGTTGTTGGGTTGTTTTTTTTGGAGGGGTTGTTGTTGGTTTTAGTTTTTTTGTTCTTTTTTGTTCTGTCGGTTAGGTTCAGTCTTTTCTCTGTACTCATTCGAAATATGCATTATACGGGCATTGTTTAAAACCGAGGTTAAAAAAAAAAAGAATGTCTCAATAAGCAAGAGACCAGGTTCTTTTCGCGTTTAACTGACTTTGATGCACATTGGTCAATTCGAAAGTTGAACACTTGACACAGTGGCATGGTTCAAGAAGAAAGAAAATGGAAAGAAAGAAGGCACTAAATATCAAAGAATGGTGATTTTACCATGTTGAGGGTTAAACCTCCTGCCAAAATGGAGTGCGTTTATTTATAAGTTCTCTGTCCGCTTTGGGGAGGTAGGGTGTCTTTTTCCATTTTGGGGGGCAGAGGAGGGACAGAGAGAGAGAGAGAGAGAGAGAGAGAGAGAGAGAGAGAGAAAGAGAGAGAGAGAGAGAGAGAGA